TATAAATTTTTAGCCGTTTACGTAGTGATTACATGGCAAAACGTAGCGGAAACACACACATGTTTACGAGTATGATTGGTTAGAAGTGAAATAAATCGTATTAACATGAAAAAAGAAATTAATATTCGTGTAAAAATTAATAGTCCCATCTGGCTACCCTGTGTATCGTACATTCATCGACAATATCAGAAAGCTAATATTACCTTACAATTTACTTTACAAATTATACAAGGTTGAAATGAGAGAATGGACTTGGTAGTTTTTCTTTTATTATTTCAAAAAAGTAATTCATAGAAGACAGCAATGTGAAGAAGATCTAAAATTATAATATTTTTCATTTAAGTATATTAGAAAATTATTTCATATTGATCCTTGGAATAAAAATTTTGCTATAATATCAAATAAAATTTTAATTTTAAAGAAAGGTTGAATTGAACAAATTAGAAGAAATAAAATGCGTTGTAACCTCTTTGTGATTTTGGATAAGAGAGCACTTCCTTTTTTCATTTATTTTATATTATACAAATTACTAAAACATATTAATATCAATTGTTATTGTAAATACAATATGTTATGAATATGTTACAAAGAAGAAGACGCAATGCTGCTACTTTAGCTAAATTGCCGCTCCTAACAAAAATAAATATTTACAACTATATAAAAAATTACCATGTTAACTGGCATTTAACCCACTTTATCGCTATAAGTGTTTACCTTACGTGTATCCTGTCTTTTAAACATTATGCTTACTAACCTATAGTATATAACTATCTAAATATATAGAAAATATATAGATAATACTAAATATATGATGATGATACGTCTGTTACCTGTTTACAGTTGAACATTGGTTTTGCCAGTAGTTGACAGGCAAATTAACAACCACATTTAGACTTTTGGTTATGTTTTAAGAGAGACGCTGCTGCCTATCCCTCGCCATTAAGTTCCCTTAGTCGCCTCTTACGATACCCATAGGAAAGAAAGGGGTGGTTTATTCTATGCTAGGACCACACGACCAAATGCTAAATCATTATTAATTCCAATAGTTTCATCAACATCTATATTAATATATCACTTCTAGTATTTAATTCCACGTTAGAATTTAACCATGAATAGTTAATTCCAATAGTTTTACCGCAATTTGAAAATCCGACTCTCTGTGGCACCAGAGTGCCACTAAAATTAATGTCCTGCCAGAGAGAAAAACGAGCGCAATGGCAACACCTACTCGCAGCTACCTAACTATTTCAGTTCAATGAAATCCGATTTAAAATAGAGCTGGAAACTACAGTCGAGTATTTAATCTATGAAATAATACACTTCGTACTGATTAAGTAGTCCAATTACATTAATAAATCCTATTTATTTCTCATACTTATCCTTACTAATATTATAAATGTAAAAGTGCATTTGTTTATTTGTTACCTTATAGCACCTTAACAACTTAACCAATTACTATGAGATTTAGTACACACATACTATATGTGATGGAAAATGCTATAGACTACATTTTATTCCGGTGAGTAAACATATCTCGGTCAAACGTGACTTATATATATTTATACTTGTATGAGAATGTATGTTGTAACCTTAGATTATAAGAGCATCGAGCCTTAAAATTGGATTAACTTTTGGTCAGCTAATTGTCAAATTAGCTAACTCTTTTTTTTATTGGTGTTATACATTCGCATAAAAAGATCTTGACGTATTATTTAATAAATTAATTGAATGTTTATGCATTAAAAAGATGCAGAAATTATAAGACAAAATAAATATAGCACTTATAAAGGAATCACTCATAACTATTTATCACGCAAATTTGTATGAAAAAGTTGATCCGTTTTTCTTGAAGCATTTCTGTGGAAATACTATCTATGTAATCTAAGGTTGTAACTTAAGACTGCTACAGATAAAAAATACCAACATAAATCATGATTAAAATTAATATGTAACTAACTATAATGTAATTAGAATCTAAAGCTTGGGAAAAATAATTTTATAGATCAGCATTGTAGTGTCGAAGATATCATCATCACATTACATATCAAAACCACAGAAGGAGAGATAGTCTCTTCCCTTTTCAAAATAGCATAAAAACATCTATCGTGGTATCACAAGCAAGATACACTATGATATCTACAGTATTCTTCATGTACTTATAAAGACAACAGTTACCATTTCAGGTCTATCATTAGAATATTTGCTATCATATGTTAAATAAACATTTAGAGCCAGGATGTAACTTTATTATTATTATATCAGCTGTTAATCTTCGTCGTCGTCCACTGAAGAATATAGGCCTCTCCCATAAGGAGATTTTTTGCCAGTAATTGCCACAATTGGCAGGCGGGTTGACAACCGCAGTTAGGCTTTTGGTGATATTTTAACAGAAATGCTGCTGTCTAATCCTCGATTATTAAGTTTCATTAGTTGCCTCTTATGACACAGACGTACGGAAAAAGAAGGGGTGACCCATTCTATGACGAGACCATATGGCGTTCTATAACTATCTATTCAGCAATTAAGAATAAAATAATAAACTTCATTATATATATTTTTTTATATCACGTATCTCTTTTATTTTGCCTATATCATATTTTCAACAAATTTCAAAAAAGGAGGTGGTTCTCATTTCGTTTATATTTTATATTTATTTATTCATCAGTTGTAAACTGATTTCGAAAATTCTTTTTTTATCTGAAAGAATATACACAGATTGGTCCTATAGAAATTTTACCAAAATCGATTCGGTGGTTTAAATTTTAATATAAACAACTGGTTTTGCAACAATTGAAGTCGGCTAACATCTTCACAAACGTACCTAATCATAACCTACCCTTTACGTAAGATAAATAAGCTAAGTAAAGTTTGTAATGCTTTTAGACATGACCTTAATTACGTACGTGTATGGACAACGTATATCAATAAAGTTTTCTGTCAGGTGGACAGTCAACTTGTTTGCTGTCAATATCATAATCATTTTAATAGCCTTGGACGCTCGGATAAATTACTTTACTTATTCTTTTACCCACTACTTTGGCCACGTGATCGGGATATTTTATCGATATCCTATTCCATTCCAAATAGTACGTGTTATTATTTTTAATACGAGTATATTTTTTACAACTTTATTATTATTATATATCAAATTTCCTAAGAATAATTAAGTCGTTATAGCGGCACCAAGAGGCAACAAAACTAAAAATACTTTCAATTTTAAAATATTAGAGTTGATATCTTCCGCCCGTCGCGGGTTTGTAAACGTAAATTATGGAAATAAACAATAAAAAACATATACCAGATTTTAAGTTACACCTTCAGAAACACAACTGTGAAAACTATAATATATTAAATTTAATGTAATAAATTTTACGTATGGGAACAATTACAGAGAGAAATACAAAAAATATATAAAAAAAATTAGATTCTATACCTCTTTCTAAGATGTTTCATATAGTTTTTCATACTATCTATGAACATTATACCTAGTTTTTCGTGAATATATAACACAGCATCATATTGTCTCAATATAAGCAAATCTGCTGTGAGTATTACACAACTTTTTATTTTTTGCAAATACATACAAAATTATGATAGAAAAAATTTATGTCAATACACATAGAATCCCATAAATATTATGCGCAAGATTCAACCCGTAACAATTGGAAGTTAAGTCAATTAATTACTCTACAGTTAAGAACGTAAATATAAAGTAAAATATAGGCTGGTGTATATGAAGGGTCAATATAATAATTATACCCTATCCTATCGTTGCTTATATTTAGCCTTTGGCAACTAAAAGATTACCTACTCGAGAAGCCTAATAGATCCAGAAATAATATTCACAGTACTTAACAACTGAATTGTCTCCAAAAGATATAGATTGAAATATCTTTTTTCTTATATCGGCTTTTATTGAAGAAAGATATTCACTTTTATTACTATTTCTGAAAAGCCAGCTGTTATAAATATATCAGTTTATTAGTTATTATTAGACTTAGAACCTATTTGGTAAATATCAAGTTTTATTCAGTAGGCGGTAATCGAACGAAGTTAATCCAATTAATCAGGAAGCGAGAAAGTCGGCCGGCACGAAGGGCCAATCATCAAATATTCCGATTCTGTCATTTGCCGTTACGTCTTACAATGTATTCCTTTATTAAATAATGTAAGTATTCACTTCCTGGTTCTATTATGGAGAAAGCTTTCCGTTTCGTTAACTTTGCATGTGTCAATGTTAATGTAATTTTACCAGGCAGTACTACAATACTTAGAAAGAATGATTGCGACCGTTCTTACAAGGAAGACACTTTTTAAGGAATTTTTAAAAAACTGAATAGATACCTAATAATAGAAAAAACATAGCCAAAATATTGTAGTTTAAAAGTTTTATGATACTGATGATTTTATAATTAATGCCAGTATATCGTACCTAATTCGCTTTAATAAACTGAGTATAATCTATTGTGAGGTGCTTGTGCCTGGTGCTAACTGTATGTTCGTTAACAGTTTAAAAACTCATTTGAAGAAATATATATTTCGATAATTATCGAGTAATTGAAATATTTTCGAAACGGGCGGGCGGAATCAGTGTTCTTATCAATTGAGATACCACTTCACTAGGCAGGCATTAGAAATTAACAATCACAATGCTACCTAAGGGCGTTTGAACGCCATCTATTGGCGATAGTTTTAAACTATCGAGCCGAACCACACCGGCCAGCTTTTAGCTGGTAATCTGTGTAACGATGACGTATTCCAAAATATTAAACATTTTTTATGTATGATTAGATACTTAGTAATTTACTAATTGAAAATTTCTGTAAAAATATTATTAAAATCATTTTTCAATAAAATTATTAACTTATTGATTATTTTTTCAACTATTTTTCCTGTACTTTGATTTATCTCTGTTAATCGACATCTTGACTATGTGGACATAATCGTAACACAGTTAATAAGAAATATACATTATGATAGAAAATAATTTTAATACTCACAGTTATTCGTCAGTAAGAACCCTGTTGATACACCCAACAAGACTAGAAAAAACAGCAGCAATAGAACTATTAATGCGGGCCTGCAGTAGTGGATCCAGCAGTAGTCTTCGGAGTTAGCAGCGGGCGCATTCGAAGACCATACACAACATTTGCTACAACCACTTCCAGAGGAGGATGCAGACCGTACCACGGTACTGTTGCCTTGCTGGTTCACCACCACACCTTGTACAGGGGCGTCACTGCTCTGCGCGTAAACGGCATTATTCTTTTCCGAAAGGCGCGCAAACCCCGAACTATCGTCATCGTGAGGATTCCCGTACACTCCATACGAGGCCACCATGTCAACACCAGAAAGTGACCTCGAGGTCTCGTTACCTATTATACTATCTTGTACGACATTATTGTCAGTACTAGGCCAACACTCGCAGGAACAACGGTCTTCTTTCCGCCTCTGCCGCGGTTGTGTCGCGTCGGTCCTACGAACAGGCACTTCGGTTTTCTTCTCCTCTTCTTTTTTAATTTTGGCATCTTGAGGTATAGTTTCATGATTGACGTCATAATTTGGTTGCAAATTCTTGTGGTTTTCTATATACCAATGACGTTCTTCTGCTCTTAGCGTAGTATCGTTGTTACCCTCGTACACATCTGCGTAATTGGCTAACGGGTGGGAGGAAGGACTGTATACGGGGCCGACTGTTAGCTGCCCGTAGCCGCGATCGTATTGCGGCGGCCGGTTATTACTCGCGTAATATGTGGTGGATGCAGGCACGGTGTAATCGTAGCCCGGCCTGTTCATCTTCAATAGTTAATCGCCTCATTTGAGCTTACGCTTCACTGCTGATGACATTACGTATGATGCTATAGTCGAATTAGTTAGATAATCACTTATAATTGTTATAATGCTAATTACTATGATGCTATTTCTGACAAATTCTTTATTATTATTTAGTTTATTATACATATATATATATATATATATATATATATATATATATATATATATATATATATATATGCTTCCTTAAGATGCTATTAAAATATAGGTGCGATATATGGAGCGAAATGGAGGAAGGAAGGAAAAGCAAGTGGGTAGACAAACTTCGTTGATTTTGTTACGCGTTACACTCGGAGGCAGAAAGTTATAGAGTAAAATACACATCTGTTTATCTCAATTACCTCTCTTGTTCGACGGTGGTATTTATCTTTTGTGTTACAACAAGCGCGCGCTTGTTCGCCCTGTATACTCAGGAACATAGACAAAGAAGTAGCGACGTGTGTAAATAAACTCCCTTAACTTAAATTAACTGTATTTATTTCCCTGATTTTGACACATGAAAGTTATTTAACGTGATCACGCTACTTACTGAGATAAAAATACGAACAGGTTAGTAGTATCGGGAAAAGTCCTGATTACATTTGTTACTAATGTTACACTGTTGTTATGAACAACTTTTACCCAATCTAGAAAAGTTAATCGCATTAATAATGGAACATTGACCTTTCGACAGACTCGATAACAACATTTTCTGTGAATCTCTACGCTAGCTAGGATAATCCATCCCAATTAATTAAATTAAAAACAAACAAAAGTCATTTGTAAAAGTTTTGGGGATAGCAAGTTACGAATCGTGACTTCGACGCAGTGGAAAATTAAGGCGATGTTGTCTCTAACTCAGAATTGAAAAGGTACTTACTAACTTTTAACTACCTATCTAACAACAATAAAATACATATTTCATTTTCAAGACTTAACGCTATGCGATTTAAGGAAAAAGGTACGTAAGTAATATTAACGTGGTTTAATAAAGAAACAACGCGAAAGTTTAAATCAACCGACGATAATGTAACTAGTTGATTAACTTTCTCGAGAAACATACTGTCATTGTTACCAATGACAGTATGTTTCTCTAGTTAATATTAAATGTTACAGTTTTAAAAATTTGCGTTTCTATTCCTCAGTATAATTTAGAAATATTAACTTAGTAAACTTTATCTCTTGTTTTACACGTAGTAATAAAAAATATTTATATATATACAAGCTAACATACAGGCAAGAACAATATTAGTAATTGAGACGAGCAGCTCCATTACATTAAAATAAATCTTTGACAATTATAATCGCAGTATTTATTTTTTACTATTGCCTATAACTCTTTGACAATACGAATCCAAATTATTTCTAATTTTTTTTTCAATAAAAAGATGTTTCACACATCTTACTTAACCTAGTTGGTTATCACATACACACATGTTTTTAAAAATATTTGCTGGAAAATATTACCCTCATTTCTTCGACAGTCGGCTAAAAATGAGCACGTACTAGACTTTTATGCCACATATTTTTCTGGTTGGGTTGTACGTAAGATACCAAATTTTGACGTAATGAAAAATTATAACCTCTCTTATGCTTATGCTAAAGGCTCTTCATAGCAGCCCTTAAGAAACATAAAATACGAGAGCATAATGTAGGTACGTGAACGACGTAGGCAAAAAAAATGCTCCCGTTTGCTGTTATCTATGGTTTAGTGTCAGGACAAGTGTGGCGATGTCGGAGGGCGGAGATTTTAGGGTTGTCCGCTGAAGAATTTTTTGCTTAGTAGAAGAATAGTTTTCTGTTAAATCCACTCGTTATCTTACAGTGAACAAACAAAATTCTAATATAAAATGGTGATTAAAAATATGCTTGCGTTTTTATATCAACAATGATAATCAGAATCATAACAAGATTCATTTTGGTGACTAATGACGATATTCCAAATATAAAAATAATTTAGATTATTTTTAAACAAAATTAAAAAAAAATCTACCATCGTTGATAAAATCAAATTTATTATTTATTAATTGTCAACATCTAAACATAGACCTACCTCATTACAAAATTCTTTACCAATTCTTTCTCTCTCTCAGCCAACCCTACTTTCCGTCAACATTGCAAATGTATACACTCAGTTCAGTTTTAGCGGTAGGCAGCCGGCCACATATTAAAGCAGCCCGGCATACCAACAACGTGTGTGAACATTGTAAACTGTGAACGTATGCAAATAGGTGAAACATTTAAGTAACTTGATATTCAGGCCTCTGTATTTTACAAATAGTTTACCTAAAAATCATTTACAACGTTGGCAGCACCTGCTTGTAAAAAAAAAAGTTAGAATAACGAATAATTCTATTTAGTGCCAATTTGACAAGATATAAACGTCGTTTCTTTTAAGAAAAATATTGAATCTGCAAAGGTAAAGGTTTCCTTAACATTGATCATCATATAATCCCTTTGTCTACACTTTAAATGAACATCATTACCTATTCTATAACAAAGCTTTATATACAAGTAGGTATTAGAAGAAAACACCGAAGCTTTGCCCGCACGGAACCCGTATTCTCCTTTTCCAGAGGGTATTTTCCAAAACCTTTCCTTAATTAGACTTTCTTGCACAAAGAACCTCCATGATATAAATTTATATATTTTATTTTATCGGAAATATATATAAAAGTATAAACTACTTAGTATTTTTTGTGAAGATGTTTCTTACCCAATCAACTGAACAGATTTTAATATAAACAGATTGTTCAGAAATGTGTGGAACCTAAGCACAGGCAATGTAGGAAAAAGCTATCCCAGAACACGTACGAATCTAAAACATCTTTTCTAATTAAAGTTAAAATTAAAGATTTGCTACATAAAGTCCGATGTAGTAGAATGTCAATTTTATTGTCTTTTTTATTGATATTGATTATAGAAATGGATAAAAATGTGAATTTTGTTTATGGAATAATCAAGAAAATTAACCTTTTGTTTTACCTTATTGTATTTCATTCAATAGGGTAAAACAAATTTATCCTACTTACTAAAAATAAAATGTTATTTTTACTTGCAACAACTTTTTACTAATTAAATTTCAGACTGGTGCCTATCGTAAAATACTTTTACACTCATTGCTTAAATTAAAAGTATTTATTTTTAAGAACAATAATATTTTAATTTTATAACAAATTGCTGGCTGTTTTATTTTTATTGCCCTGATACTCGGTAGTACAAAGTATATTATTATTTTTATATAATTAGAGATTACATAGCTCTAAGAACCGACAACCGATGGAGAAGAAAGGTTCATGAGTGGCGACCCCATACGCGCAAAAGCAAAGCAAACGTAGGACAACCCCCACTAGACGGAGAAACGACCGACTTTATGGCAGTCTATGGAAGAAACCTATGTTCAACAGTGGACGGATATTGGCTATGACGATGATGATGATAATGAGAGACTAATACTTTATAAAAACCTATATATATATACATATATATATATATATATATATATATATATATATATATATATATATATATATATATATATATATATATATATATATATATATATATATATATATATATATATATATATATATATACATATACATAAATTGGTCTAGTGAGTCCAGAAACTGCTTTCTAATTGAATATTAAACTTTGTTAAAACAACTTTCCGTGGGAACATGCACTGTATTATTTCTGCCAATAAACGTAGTTACCTCTTATAATTATGTAACAACCCGACTCAGCTGAAAGCGTACTTTAAGGGTAGTTTGGTTAATAATTTAGGGTTCTGATGTCAAATACAGCAGCGTTCAGTTAATAACAACATTGATTCATTGTTTCCGGAATTAATCCATGTATAGGAAGTTTTCGTACCACAATACAAAGAAATTATAAATAGAAATATCTTCTAGTCAGCTTATACCTACTATAAGACCATAAATATATGTATAATGTACCATCATGTTAATAATAAATTATCCATTACAAAGTGCATAGACCATTGACAATTGGTTAATCAATTGTTTAATCAATTTAGAACAGAATACTCGTATTAACTACCGGCAATAAAATGATATTTGAACAGTATGTCCACTATAGAGAAAACAAATGTTTAAAAGCATTTGCTACGTCAGTACGCGTAACTACAAAAAAAAAAACAATAAGTCCAAACTCTTCACTGCATTGTCAAATTAGCTAATTTCAGATAAGGCCATAAATTTATCATTTGTCAGAACTACATATCTGTGAAGCTTTAGCTCAATTGAGAAATTTGAAAATTTCGAAATAATAAATTTTGTTTAAACAATAGAAAAATTTATGTACATGTTCTGGACACATTTACACAAATACACACTTGAAAAATATTGCCCCCTTTTGTCTCTAGTGAAGTAAATCTTTTATTTCACGAAATTAAAGCTCTAAATGAACAATAATATTCAATATTAATTGATATAAGAATATATCTTTAAAAAGAAACATAACTCTATACAAAAACAATTAATCATTATAATAATAAAACAAAAAAATATGCTATTTGCTTACTATTAAAGACACTATAATTAATATAATTTTATACACTATAAATAATTTAAATTTAGGTGCACCTATCATCAAGTGTCTGTTTATCGATTTATTAATAATATATTATCACATTATAAAAAATATAATAATAATACATTATTTAAATTATCAATCGAAATGAGTGATGACGACTCATAAATAATACTTATTAATATTGATTAATAATTAGCTGATGATAAAAATGTGTTTGTTGAGCAATCTTCTTATTTCAGATATACAATTTTATTATGACGAATATTGGACATGTGAAATAAAAATGTTATCTGGGCCTTTTTAATCGATGCAAAGCGCAATTGCGATGGAAGTAAAGAAAGCAATTCCACAAATCCGAATGAACTATGTGCTAGTGGGGACACATGTACAAATTGCCAACGTTCTGTATGTTTTACTTAGATTGCGTGTTAAGTTACAGGCTGAAATAAAAAGACCGTAGTCGCTTCGCGTTGATCGTGGGTGGATAAAAAACAAGGTCGAATAAATATAACAAACCAATAAAATAGTACCAATAGTAGTTTCAAACATACAAAAGATGATAAATGTTAAAATAATACTAGTAATTTATAATAATATTATAACTCCACATTCACACTAACTGACTTGTACTCAATTTATGAGAAATCAGTCCATGAGCATCATCATATCAACCTTTGACTGTCCATTGTCCGTCTTTCCCCCCATAGGAGGTTTTGCCAGTAGTTACCGTGCTTGGCAGGTGACTTTACAACCGCATATAGGCTTTGGTGATGTTGTAATAGGAAAGCTGTAGCCCATCCATCGACTATTAAATTCCCTTAGTTAGCTCTTACGACACCCACGAAAAAGTAGGGGTGGTCAATTCTATACCGGGACCACTCGACAATCGACAGTCTACGAGCATATAGTGGCATAACTAAAAAAATCCAGACGTAAAATTTTTACTATTCTAGAAAAGTTCGTTTCTAAAATAACCCGACCGAAAATCAATCCCTGAATCTCATTTATGCAAATCAAAATGTATACATTTTATAAATTGTAATTATGATGCATGGAGAAGTCAAACATATCTAATACCAGCGTATATCATCATATCAGAATTTAACTGTCTACTACTGATCATAAGTCTCCCCGTGGGGGGTTTGCCAGTAGTTGCCAAGCTTGGCAGGCGGATTGGCAACCGCAGTTAGGCTTTAAAGATGTTTTAAGAGGGACGCTGCTACCCATCCTTCGCCCTCCCTTCAATCGGCTCTTACGACACGGGATAAGAAGGCGTAGCCTATTCTATGCCGGGACCACACGGTTAGCGTATATACATGAGACAAATTATGAAAATGGTTGAAACACGAAATGTACATAATTAAAGATAAAGGCCTATAACACTCGGTTCTTTCTGCCTGCCCCGCAAGAGAATTGGTGATAATAAGTATATAGTTGATATTCAACATTCTCCTAACTTGTGTGTATATGTTATAATAAAAAAAAAAACAAAAATATTTTAGTTTAAAATTTTATATGTAACAGATACGGACATATGACTGTCCGTGTCTATTACATATATGATAGAGATTATAGAATTTTAAAGTTGTTATCTAAGCTCTAAAATTACTTATAGTAAAACTTATTAATCATAGACATTTATTTCAAATAGTACTATGAGTATAAAAAAATAACAGCAACAACTACAAAAACATGAATGACGCCATTAGTCCGAAAAAGAAATTGTCAAATTAGAATAATGTATCGACGTTTAACCACAAATACCTCCTGACTGACATTTATAACAGTAAAATAATTATTAACATTGTATTTTAATATAGCTATCTTTTTTCTATGTATATACGTTGTATATGTAGGATCTTTATTATAATTTACTTTTTCGTTTCATCGTATTTGGAGTAATTTAAAATGCAGAATTAGGCTGTTTCCAGTGACTTTTGAAAAATGTTAAAAAAATGAAAAATGCAATTACTGACCTTTAATCGTTGGTTTTATTTATCGTATCGTACTATGATGAGATTTCGCAAAGTTCCCTCGGGAACGAAAGGTCACAAAATCGTGTGGGCGAGCAGCCGGAAACAGCTGCTTATTGATTTCATTCTGTTTGTATATTTAATGTAGACTGAAATATTTAGTTATGTGCGAAGTGAAGTGCGAAACGGTAGTAATTAGAGCAGAACAAGTAATTTACAAATTCAGTTCATGTTTCCTGTTACTATTAAAAGACTAGTTGAGCCCACGGACTTTGCAATGCCTGCTTTGTTAATATTACAGGAGAATGCGCAAACTTCTTTTTGCAATTTTACATCATAATTCATTTTAAAAATTTAAAAAACAATATCGTTTTATATGCATGCGAAAGTGCATATAAAAATGTCATCTTTTTCATTTTCTCGAAAATCTATTTTTCTTTCCTATAAAAAAAAGGAGTCAGTGGATGCAGGTGGCTCAGGATCGTTCCTTATGGCAGTCTATGGGGAAGAGGCCTATGTTCAGTAGTGGACAAATAATGGCTAAAATGATGGTGATGATAAAAAAAAGAAGTTAATCGGACTCACGGAAATATATAAAAATTGTCATTTTACAAAATAAGCAACTGAATTTATTAGACTCATGAAAAATAATGATGATTAATGATAGGTAAAATATTGATATTATCTTTGCGTTTCTTCAATCTACAAAAGTCAGCCAAGAGTATGATGAATATGCCATCATATCATTATGTCAGCCGTTACTGAACATAGGCCTTCCCCATTGAGGAGTTCTTCCAGTAGTAGCTACGTTTAGCAAGCGGATTGGCAACCACAGTTTGGCGTTAGTGACGTTTAAAGACGGGCGCAGCTGCCCATTCCACGATCATTAAGTTTCCTTAGTCGCCTTTTATGCCACTCACGGAAAGAAAAGGGGTGGCCCATTCTATGCCGGGATTATACGGCGAATGTATTAATTATTTTTTTGTCTCTATTAATAACCGGCGATCTGGCCCAGTTCACGCGGTTAGATAGAATTTTTTAAAAGAATATATATTACTTCACTGATAATATAGCTTTCTTTAAGTTAAAGAATTTTTATAAGATAGGTAGTTTTTTATTTTATTCCTTTACAATGAAATCTTTCCTTTTGATACCTAATTTTTTTATGATAATAAAATGTTATCCCTGCCTGCTCTATCAGTATACGCTGGCGGGGTACCAGTGAGGGGTGATATGTGAGGATGAAAGCTGGTCGGTTAGCCCATCGTGACGAATTCCACGAATAGAATTAACCACGATAGTTTCCAGAAAGAACCGTGTGGAGGTTAACCTGATAAGGTGTATTGCTAATAATGAGGAAATTAGACCCCATTACTAAAAATTGCTCCCCCCCCCCCCCATACCTAATATTAGTACAGAAAATATGGCTAGAGACAGTAATTACATTAAATATCGATAAAACATACATCCAACCACTGACAAATAAGGAGTTTTGTCAATTGGGTATAACGTTTTGTCAATTATTTCTGTTAATTTGTACTATAAAGATAGTAAAGCTGTATGATAATTAAATATTATGCATTGAAAAAATTATGATACGTTGACGCACCGAATAAGGCCGACAAAATTATGTCGGTTTCATTTTTGCATTACGTATACTTCATATAATATATAAATATATTTATTATACAAATATAATATTTATCATTGCATATAGCTACTACTTGTTATATGTAGTACGTATATTGCTTTTTTTATTATATTTTTCAATAAACAAATCGATAAAGTCTTCTAAATATTCTGAACTATTCTAATCTACATAATTAAACCTTTTAATCCAACCTAATTTACACATTTTAATAAAAAAGTGTCAGTCAAATATATTTTATGAATAAGTCTATTAGTTTTCTTAACTTAGTAGGTACTCAGAATCTTACTTAAAAACAGTTTAATCTTCTTAATAAGCGATAAATTTTATAATAAGTATTATTATATTCGTTCTTGAAAAAACAGCTGTCTTTTTAGAATTTGTGAGAAAAAATTTGCATATTTTTCTTTATAAAACGTTTCTTATAAATCTGGATGCATTGTAAAGCTATCTCTTCTTTTCACATTTTGGCAAAAGCGTAAACACTCGAGCCCCTTACGTTTAAAGATTAAGCTACTTTTATATTATCAATATGAAGATGTTTGTTATTCAATCGGGAAAAATACTGAATTGATTTGAGTAGGACGTCCTGTATTAATACATAGATTATAGAATTTTATCCAGAAACTGTGCTTCTGTCGTTTAATTTATACAATTTCTGCGAACAAAATCGGGAGATTTTAATAGTATTGTCATATTATAATGCAACTCCTTCCTTAATCCATTTATACATGTTTTATTTATGAAATTAATTATATAAAATTAATTCTGACAAGAACGTACATTTATTATAAACGTAATTTCTATACCTATTAATTTCACAATAAACACTTTTAATAATAACTGTCAAAGATTATGAAACAAGTTATCGACGAAGTTAATTATAAAATCAATTCAATAATTTCAATTTAGTTTTACAGTGAATCATCAGAAATAGCATCATATACTATATTTGTTATAATTATGTCATATCCGAATGATTGGGTCGTTCTTAATTGTTTAAAATGTGACAGACCACGTCGACCGATGAACCGTGCACCCATAGAAATGGTTCTAGCACCTTAACACAAGCATGAAACACGCACTCGCGCACTATACACTTTAGTAGGCCTGGCCTTGCCAAGAGGGGTGAATATACCCATTGTTTAGAGTCGGCAATTCCAGTCCGATTTTGGGGTTTGCGATCGCGAGAATGTGGGAAGGGTGGCTCGACCGCGACGTACCCTCGCCGGAGCGCAGCACGAACTGGCAACTACCCGAATGAACCCGCCCGCCCTCGCGCCCCGCCCGCCCCTGTCACCGCCATACTTCGCCCAAATCCAGACGAGTTTTCATTAATGTTGTTATCGGTGTAAAAGTTCGGCAAAGTTAAACTAAGAACCTAAAGCTTTAATTAACTGTCCGTAAAATAACACTAAGCAAATAGACAGAAGAGAAAGTATATGAGATTACGCACGACTTAGGAGCATATTACACTATCCAAAGTTTAAAATATTAATCAAACCGATTTACTAAGCTACGGACTCTCTTAAAATACTTCAGTAGAATGTTAAGCTACTGGGGTCTATTCTGATAAGATACGCCATTCTCTATCTCTGTCTCAAAGACTAAAATTTCAGTATAAAATTACAGAAAAATAAACGTCCAAAGGACCAGTGTGAACTAAATTTATAACAGACTAACTACTTCTCTCAGCTTTACTGACGTCAATTAGAATTAAAAGTCGATGAGTTAATTTAGCATCAACACTCTATGCTGTATGAAATTTCATTTAATAACATTTAGTTTTTAAAACATAAATGAATAACAGATATCAAAAACAAACATGCATACTTTTATATTATTTTATAAATTATTATCAAATATAATACTAAAACTATATTAATAAATTCGTTATGTGGAAGAGCAATCTTGAGTACCCGTTTAAGATGATAATATGTTAATTAATACATGAAACTGAACTCACTCAGCAGTTTATATACGAGTATCACTTGAGAGCTGAAATCACATTCGCTTATTTATAAATAAAACTCAGTGATAGAACAAATTGTTATTTCGCATAGAATACTGTCTTGCTTTCTGAGTGCAGTAAGACAGTGATCCCAAATCACGTTGGCTGGCAATAGAATGACATACCGGGATTTTTTTTATTACACGCCTTCTTCTATATTTCCATATAGTTCGATCAATATGCAGAATGCAGAATCATTCGATCATTTTGTCTCTCTATCACTTTTAAATAAACCATTGTGTTAAATTCAATTTTAATTAAACAGTTAAAACAGCATCTTAAATATGCATCCAATATTATGATTATCAATAAACGACTAAATTTTAATTCTTCGTAATCCTAATATTACGTTATTTTAATAGTTTCGCTAAATTAGCAATTTAAAACTTTAATCTTTGAAATAGATTTACTAAAATATCCTCAATACTTATAACTATATATATATACCATTTTATAAATAACCTGCCATAAATATCATCAATAAAAAAATAATAAGTTTCTAAATTTGAAAATGTCATAGCGATGTCAATTTAAAACACATTACTAATACTATATTTATCCACTAATGATGATGATGATATAATTATAATAATTGCTTATAATTGTCCAACGTTAACTTTTAATCGTATCGTTCTTGTCATCATCATGATATCAGCCTTTAATTGTCCACTGCTCGACACAAGCCTTCTCCTTGGGAGGTTTTGCCAGTAGTTGCCACGCTTGGCAGGCAGATTGGCAACCGCAGCTAGGCTTTAGAGATGTATTAAGAGGGACGCTGCTACCCATCCCTCGCTCTTCCTTAGTTGCCTGTTACGACACCCACGGGAAAGGAAAGAGTAGCCTATTCTATACCGGGACCACACTGTATAGAATATATATATATATATATATATATATATATATATATATATATATATATATATATATATTCTCATAGTAACTAACAATTTGGAAAATTCTAAAATAACTTGAGGAAATATTTTCACATCTTCCATATCGTTCTGAAGTACTATATCAAAATATTGCGTCTAATGATGAAAAATAAAAATAAGATTCACAATCGGAAACGTAGAAATAGAGCGTGTTCAACCAAATTATGCATTCATTTCTAACAATCTAGTGATCTTTGTAACCAAAGAATAATGAATATAAAAAAATACACAATACAGAATACCACATACCATAATCACAATAATCACATGGTCTTCAAATTAAGCTATCTTGTCTTATGAGGAACAAGCCAACCAACATTTAGGAGCGCAACTCAGAATAAGCAGACCCGAGTCAATTTAGATGAGTTTGTTTTCTAAATTGGCCCGATCGAAATGTACTTACAAATTTTGTAAAAATATTACATCTGTACACGTAATTTCATATTACAGTAAGTAACAAATACCATTGATATCCTGTTACAGCAATAATTCTTTTCATTTTAATTCGGGACACATTTGAATGCAACTTTTGTATGTAAGTGTGAATATTTTTATATCTATTATTTCATCGTAAAATTAATTAGTATAACTTTGTTACTAGCTCTATAAAAATATAAAAAAAAAACCGTTTTTATGCTACTCTCTACTTCACATCAAATACTTCATATACAATCTTTGGGACGAGCAGTGAAACTTACCTATTTAAAAATTTAACTTCAATACATATTAACCTACGAAAAGCGAGATATATTTATTTTATTCTATATAAATCTGTATAGTAATAGAGCAGAATACAATGTGTCACTTCTTCTGTTTATCACCAGGATGTCGTAAGAGGCGACGAGGGGAACAAAACGCAATAATAAACCAATGCAAGATAAGAAAACCCTGAGTTTTATTTCGAGTTTTGTTCAAGTCAGCTTAGTAATAATAGACCAATATCTTTTTATTTATACAGGAAAACCTATTGCACCATTTTGTAATGTAATAAATAGTATTTATATTTTATAGTAAGTAGGTCGTTAATATGTTTTATGATGATGACTTATTTGATGAGTACGATGATACCTTAATTAATTACTTCATCAATTTATATTATATTACAACTACTTTTACAACTGTTAAGTACTTATTTGTATTACACAACAGCTAATAAGTCGAATCACGTCTATAGATACTAATTTCGTATAACATTTACGAGTTGTGAAAATCAATCATAAGATTTATTAGTGCCAATCGCAGCGGATCTACTTCAATAAGCCTTGTTAAGCCTCTTGGAAGTTATAGTTACAAACTTAGTAGGTATATCATATTGAGAATATTTATAGCCCCATCTGAACATTCAAATTAAATTCCGTTTTCAATGATCGAGTGGATTTTAGAATCCTTGAAACGAAAGAAATACATTAGGGGTAAATCGCGTAAAGCAAGTACTGAATAAATGAAAATGTTTTCAGTCTGAATTTCCTTAGTGAACGGTCTCAATCGTCTCCTATCGATTGAATACGGGCACAAATTGTAAGAATTATTGATATCGCGCGGGTAGCGGCTCATACAAAAAGTTTATAAAAGGAAGTGGAGCGAACAAACTGGCGGGAACAAACTTTTATTCCGGGACGAACGCGAACGTTACTTATCTGCCGCCGCCGAGCTGACAGCTGCAGATGAAAAATTGAAATTGTGTGAGATAAAACTACCTAACTGCCGCTGCAATGCCCAACAAACAATGTGACGTCGACATCGTTATTTACTCGTATATTTTGGGACCTATTCTTGTTATAAAGATTTTATTTATTTTATCACTTTAGTTTCAACTGAAATTTATTATCCTTCTTTCTTCAAGTCAACGGTCGAGTAAGACCGAGGAAATGCAGAGGTCAACTAGATAGAAGAGACTTTTACAGATATATTTAGGTAAAAATATGTCTGAAACTTTAACGTAACGTGTAACCTAAATTGGATCTTTATCGTCGATGGATATTTATAAATGGGTTGTCGTTGGTTACGTCCTAATTACGGAAAGTGCTATAGGTTGCACTTAAATAAATAACACTACGTAATAATAATTTTCTACTTGATTCAATAATTTAATCAACTCTATAGGTACTTAATATAATGAACAAGTTAGTAAATGTAAAATATTTAATCATCTCTTCTCTACTCAATGAAAATAATACAAGATATTTTGTAATCATTCAAACTTATTTAAAAAAAACCTCTACATTTTAATTATGAACCCTTCACGCGCAATTCTGAAAAAAAATCTCCTCACGCAGTCAGTTCTTCGAAAAGGAACGCTTTCACTCATAAAAAAGGTATAGCAAAAAAATATTACGTCCTACTATCAAATATGTGGAAACCGAAACGGACGTAAAAAATCTTTATATGTAAATATGAGTGTTTCCGCTTCCTATATCAATTCGGCGCGGCCGATGTAAGCTGAATAGCGGGAGCGACGCTCGACTGTAACATGCAATAATAACGAACTGTCCGACACGTCAAGCTGGGACCCTTCCCTATTTATGGGGCGACTCACTCGTCGGGGGTGCCACGTGAAAACTCCGCGTAAATCAAAGTCATAAATTCTCCTATCGTGAATGAACATTTCTCTTCGCGGACGTCTACACTGGCTGAATGGATAACGCCGACCCGCCTTCACAGGATCACCTCTACCGAGTCATTTGCCTTTGTTCGTGGGGCAATTAATAACGGACAGAAGGGCGTTTTCGAACCGCAGGCGCCATTCGCATATCAGTAATAATCTAGCAGAGCGCAGCCTCTGGCTTTGCTTGACTATCGATCATGTTCACCTAATGAGCGGCACACGTGAAATGGCTCCGAGCGGAACTTTGCCTCTGTGCAAATGAGGTTTGTGAATTAATGTTTTGCGCAGTTTATTAATTATGTCTCATTATAGTTTGTGATATAAAAGATGAATAACTTCTTTAACTTATTATGATTATTTTATCGCCAATACTGTTTTCATCTATTACTGATGTGCATATATTACCTTGTTTATATTAAGTGTTGTGTTGTATTGTAACAAACTATACATAACACTGTTGATGTACTAATAAATAAATAAACAAGATGATTATATAACATCATAGAGGCAATTGAAAGTAATTATTTTATGTAGTGCATAAACGGAACTCAGAGTTATATTGTTACAATCAGAACTTACATTTGTATGATATTCTGCTTAAAATGGCGAAGGATACTGTTTAAATATAGCACATGTATTGTATAAGATACATTACAATAAACACAGCAAAAGAATTAT